TGATCTCCAACGTTTTACTTCTAGGAGCCCTAACTTTTTACTTCAAGCAAGGTGTTAGACTCTATTTGCTGGGTTGTGAGGTTCAAATGAACCTGCATTAATTAAAGTACTTTGTATACAAAGAAGAGCACATAGTTCAAGGGAGCAGTTATTATTGAAAGAGAATCACATTACAAAGTTTCATTATCATTATTGTCTTAAATGCAACGATTTAATTACCTTCCTGCAGGCAGTCACATAAAATATTGTGCACATTTATCTGGTGAAATTGCAATCCCATAAACCGATTCATCACAGAGAAGAAATTATTCCTGGTGTTTGAATTCAGACGAAATATTTCTCTTGAATTGTCTAAAAGGTGCCATTTTCTTCAGTGTGGATAGGTATTTTCATCCATGCTCATCATGGTGTTATTCGGCTTTGCCCCATTCCTTCATTATGTGAATTCCTTCTGTGAAAAGAGCTGTTGATGAATACATTTTTCTCTGTTCTGGTACAGAAAGCATAGAGGTGACAGTGGAGATCTCCCAGGAATTCAAACCCATTATTGCATTTTTACCATTTTAGACCAGAAAGAAATTTCCCTGGGTGATTCTTCCCTTTGTTAAAAGGACATGAGTTTTGAATCCAACTACGGATGCTATTTTGTGACTTACTAATTATTGTATAAGACAGCTCACCTAACATTTCAAGCTTTTATGTCCTTACCTTTTAAGAATATATGTGAACCAAATGAAAAACTTGAAACTTGGATTATGAATAACCTAAGCCAAATATCTGCGTAACCCATTTATTGCTCAACACTGGATAAAGAATCAACTTGATAATAAAAATTGGTAGGAGTGAACTTTTGAATTGTTTTATGTGCTTAATGATTTTTAAATTTATTATATTTATTATCAGTTAAAGGCATAATTAACCAGGTACCCCTAAGAAACACTAAAATGCCATTCAGCCATTTGGAACCTCATTTTATAGCTTTTAAAGAATGGTAGAATAACTTTTTACCTTAACGCCTGCTATTTTGAACACCGAAAAAGGGCCCAGGAGAGGCCACTCTGAGTAGATATCTGATAAGAGTGGCTGATAGAAAACCCCAGGCATGTGGTGCTGTGGAGAGTGGTGTCCACAGATGTGTAGTTATGTATGGTCTTTGCCAAATCCAAAGCCCAAAGATGAAAATCTGAGGATAGAACCTCAGGGAAGGAAACAATGGGGGGACAGAGACCTTCTTTGACCCAAATAAGACATCCAGCCTCCCAGTCAATCAAAGGGAAGAAGGCCAGATGAAAAGGGGGAAGCCAAACTCAGGTTTTGCCCTCTGAAGTAGCTTGCGACTAAATTTCTCTTCTACCTCGAAGCTGTAGTTAAAGTGAAATGTGTACACAAGTCAGGTGAGTGAAAAAGCACATTTTACCTACAATGCCAAAGTCGGGAGACATTTCCTTCTCTGAAAGCTGACTCACAGTTCCTGAAACAATATCCCAGTCTGCAGGGGAGAAGGTCTCGCTGTGTTTCCATGAAGCTGAACAAAAGCAGGTGGAAATGTGTGCCCAAGGGACGCAGGCTGCACATGGGACACATGAGGACATTGTCAGTCTGACATGCCCGCCCTTTTCTTCCTCTACTCCAACTTCCCCAGTGCCCCACTGACCCCAGTTCTCCGTCCTCCTGGGAATGGTGTCACTCAGCCTTCATCCGGGCCATCTTGTCTACCGTCTCCTTTTTCTTCCTGACCATCCTGACTGTTCCTAGCCTCTTTTCCCATCACAGACCCTTTCTGGACACCATGCTTCAGTGATAATGTACCACTCATCAATCAAACACTAACTGGCATCATCCCCCTTGTCCTTTGCACAAGTTATGCCTTCCTTCTGGAGTCCAATGACAACTTGTATATTTGTGAGTTCCTCCTCATTTTTCTAAAACTCTTTCCAAGTACTGTTTCTTCTCTTTCTTCCTTTTGCGCAGCCCAGCCTCCCTCCTGGAGTGCCCACCATGAGCTTGCTGTCCATTCAGGTCCTTATGCTCTAACACTGTATTTTCTTGCTCCCTGTGCTACCAGTTTTTGAGGCCAGCGAGGGCAAAACAACAACAACAAAGAACAAAAACAAAAACAAAATCCCATGTCTTTTTATGTTTATAGTCCCAGCATCCAACACCGAGCTCAGTAATGCTGGAGGAATTGAATCAAATGGAGTGTGTTCTCTGAGAAACACGAGGCATGACTTCATTAGGCAAATATACCAAATGTTTCTATCAAGCATACATCATAAAGGAGAGAGATTCTACTTGCTTCTAACTCATTAGAGCTACAACCCACCAAATCATTGCTGTGCATGAAAGCCTAAGTGTGGGACCTTAAATCCTACTCTGAGGATATTGCCATATAATTCAAACAAATGTTTGTTTGTACCATCTGCTAATAACCTTTCTACATTCTTATTGCAACAAACGAAAGAAGAGACAGGTAACTCTAGGCGCAAAATCACAATGCATATCCCACCTTCTGTCTGGAAGGAGGGAGTGTTCAGAGATGCATTTCTCTGTGCAGATTAAATTCGCTGTCTTTTCAGCTGGAGTTATGAACCCTCTGGGGCAGGGAAAGAGAGCACTCAAGACCCAAGGCACTAATGAATTTTTTATGGAACAATCTTCTTCCTTACTGTGAAGGGACGTGGATGTATAGCCAACTCAGGGTTCTTATGAACTTCTCCAGAAAGGAGAATAATTGGTCAGCTGTTTGAAAAATTCCTCTGTAGCTATGGCTCTCGGTACTGGATCTTAGTAAATTGCAAATGTTGTGCCACAGACTGAACCAGGAGAACTGCAAAGAAGTTCAACTGTATGGCAAGAGAGCATTTCCCAACTCTGTCACTAGAACAAACTGTTATAACACCCAGCACTATTCAGTGTTAGAAGGGTTGTAAACTAAAGAGGTTTAAACAAGCTACTTTGCAGACCAAGCTGAGACTCAGAGAGAAGTGATATGGCCACAGGCTATCCCATCAGAAGCCTCATGGTTTTGTTTGGCTTTGAGCACATGAAAGCTAGCCACCAGGAGAGTTTCCTGCTCAGTCCTGCAAAAAATGTGTACAGTACCTTTAGAAATATTGTTATACCATCTTGTTATGGGGAGGAATCAATAGCAATGGCAATAGCTTGTGCTGTTCTGGATGGCTCTAGTTCCTCATTGACCAATAACTCATAGAGTGCCTGGTAGTGAGATTTTCATTTAATAACCTATGTCTTCAGTTAGGGGCATTGTTCACTAAACACATATTGATTTAATATTTTAGGTTATGAGCCCAGCTTCTAATGACTGAACCAATCTCTCCACTCCAATACATGTTGATTTTAATCATGCTGACTGTAAATGATAATTCCCATTATCAAGGCCAGAGAGAAATAATAAAGCTATTCCATATGCAATCTAATTAATTTACACTGGGGAATTTCTTAGATTTTTCTTTAAAATTTTTAGTGCAGGATACCAGCTCATTTTACTGTAATTTTCTTATTTTTCTTCAAATTAGATGTAAGCTCTCTTGGTAATTAAGGAAACAGGTGACTTCAGTGTGCTTAAGTTTGCATTCAGTGTTGGTCCTCACACATGCAGCTCTCGACTAATTAGACCAGATTCCTAACATTCACAGAACTTGTTGAAGTTTATGTAGGTCCTTTGAATATATTGCCTCACTTAACAGAGGTTTTATCATTATCTCATAGATAATAATGACAAGTGACATTGTACCACCGGTAAAAGGCAAAGCAGGGGGAAATTTCCAAGAATATAAAGATTGACCTCTACAGGTTTGAATTCCACTTCAAACATGTCCTAGCTATATGAGTGTAAACAAGTTCCTTCAGTTCCCTGAACTTGAGGTCCACAGCTCCTGTGGCCATTGATGAAAGGGTTTATATAGACGAGATACACCACCCGGCCCATGGGAGGTCCCAGATAACAAGTCATTAAGATCCCCCTTTTTCAGTCTTTCCTGGCTTACTTCATCTGGAACTCATTCCACAATTTCAACAAATATGTTTTCTCTCATCAATGATTGTTTTTTCTTATCAATGATTTCAGTCTTAATTGCTAAGTGACTCTTTGTTAGTCAAAAAAGTCCTGTCATTTTAATGTACAAAATCAACCATCCCTAGAATTTTAAAGTAATATAGCTCTGTCAAATGCATTTTTAGGGTTGTGGAAACATCACCAAAACTCACTTTCATAAAATCTACATTTTGTAAAATTGAACTTCAGTTTTCAGTTAAAAAACTGGAAGTTTCTTAAAATAATTGAATGACATCTGCCATAAGACAGCTGTATCATTCTTGAGTATACAACCACATGACTTTATGTCTTACTGCAAATATACTTGCATATCCATGATCATTGCTGCTCTATTCACTATAGCAAGGAAATGGAATCAACATAGATGACCATCAACTGATGAGTTGATGTGTACAATGGAATATTACTAAGCTGTCAAGACAATGAAATTGTACATTTTCCAGGTAAATGGATGGAGCTGGATACAATTATGCTGAATGAGGTCTCTCAGGATCAGAGAGACAAATGTATGCATTCTTTGTCATATGAAGGTCATAGCTTTAGTTTTCTACTTTGTATGTTTAACACTGAATACATGTGGAAGTTAAGAAAGTAGAAACAGGCTGTGTGGGTGCAGTTAGGGAAATGGGACATCAGACTATGAGTGAAATAGAAATAAATAAGGGAGTGCTGGGGGAATCGAGTTTCAAGTAGGTAGCGGAATGATGGGGTTGAACAAGTAAGAGATCATGACAAGGCCTAACCAAAGTGAAGTATGCACAGAGAAGCTACCTGTGAACCTATGATCACATAACCAAAGTTGGAACATACTGGACATGAACGGACAAAGGCAGTGCACTGGGCACTAAAGAGGTACATGGGAATGGGTACAATTGGTAAAGGAAAGGAGTGGGCTGCCCAAAACTAAGGGTATATGACTAAAATCATGAATATATGAATAAACCCCACTAGTTTGGAACTGAATTAAACTAAAATTTTTTAAAGAGCTTGAATAGAAGCATCACACCGCAGTGAATTATTCCCAGAAGACACCAGTTATTAAATAAAAAATTCAATGTCAGGCACAGGTTACCTCCCTATGAATTATTTATTTTTCAAGAAGGTTCCAGAGACACCCATGGAACCCAAGTGACTGCAACTGCTCTTGGTTATTAAAACTACCAGATGTTAAAATGCTACTGTTGAAGTTGCCACACATTTTGGTTGCAGGACACATAGAACTCAATCTTGAATTTGCCAGCAAAGTCTCCGGGTTGGCTCTTTCATGGTGTTGGTAGGTGGAAGGCGCTGTGCAAGCTTCTGGATGAGAAAAAATATCAGTGACTCTATCCACTGTTGGGCCCAGCATTCTAAAATAGCAATGCAACACAATGAAATGCAATGCAATACAACACAACACAACATGACATAATACATTACAATACAATACATTACAATACAATACATGGCAGTGATATTACTGCTGTTGGTATCCAACTGGATTTGAGAACTGCTCCATAGCCAGTATTCATGCCTAGAACTATAAACATGGTTGTCCCATATTTAGGGAAGTCATGGGCCCTGAGGGAGGACCTGTTGATGTCATTTTTTCAAATGGTAGTGGTGCCAAACTTCCTTCTAAATATTTATGCTTGTAGACACAGATTTGTGCTGTCACAATCCTCAGTCAGAGAAGCTTCTAACTACATCAGGCAGTGGTTGTCGCAGAGGCATATTACTGATTAAAGTGCCAAGGACAAGTAATCATGAGTGTTCAGCAGTATATGAGACATCTACGTCAACCTGCCCTCCTTGCCCAGGCCCTCCTTGCCCAGGGCTGAGGGAATGTCATGGAAAAGAGGTCACAAAGAATGTAAGAGCTGAGGGATGGAGAAGAGAGATGTGAAATGTAGTTGGACGTAGCAGGCAGACTCACAGTAGCTATGGTTACCTACAACAGACTGGCATAACATCAAGCCATTTGAAAACTCTAGCTAGAGGGATGAGTTTCTGTTGGTTCCACTCCTCTAGAAGAGAAACTGGCATTTAATGGCTGCTGAGGGAGTGTGGTCATGGGTAGGGCTGCTGTGGATGATCCCATGTCCATGGACAAAAGGTCAACCTTGATTGGATACAGTTGGTTAAAAATAAATTAGATAATTAAAAATTACAAAATGATAACATAAGTTCATAAGTGAATGTTCTGGGTGGGAAGAGGTTAGTGGGAAGGTGTTAGGAGTGGGTATGATCAAAATATATTGAACACATGCATGCGAGTTTCAAAGAATTTTTTAAAAAGTAAAAATAAATGCAATTTACATGATCTATGTGTAGTAAGTGTCCATTGTCCCTTCTTCCTAATAGTTGGTGGCCATCATTATATGTACTTTCTTTCTGATTTGGTTTCTCTATTTCCACGTTTAAGTCAAATAGTGAAATATCTGTCAGCTTTGGATTGGATAATTTTACTTACTATAATATCATTAAACTTACTGCATATTATATAGTAGATTCAGAATTTCCTTTCATTTTTAATATTCTATTGTTTGTATTTCCAAATTTTGGATGAAACATTCAGGTACTAATAAACACCTCTGTGTTATTAGCTACTGTGAATCTGTTGACATGGTGGACACATTTTCACCCCCCACTTTCAGATGTTAGATTAAATACCCATAAATGAAATGAAAGCTTTATTGTCATCACTTTGAGAAGCCTTCAAACTGCTTTCACAGAGGCAGACTATTCTGCACTCCCATCTAGAGTGAACAATGGACCACATCCTCTTTAACACCTATTTTCTGGTTTTGCTTGCTTGTTTGCTTCTTTAACATAACCATCCCAAATGGAATACAGTGACTTCTCATTGGTTTATAGTTCCCTGATCATTAAGGACATTGGACGTGTGTGCATGTGTGTGTGCATGAGTGTGTGTGTGTGTGTGTGGTGTTATTGTGCATGCCATGCGTTTGGAGATGAGAATTCAGTTTGTGAGGACAGATGTATTTCCATAGCATTTATGTGGATGGCGCTCAGAGGACAGGCTTCCATGCCAGCCTTTGACTTCCAACTTCTCTGAGACCAGGATTCTTGAAGTTCACTGCTATGTGCCCCAGTACCTGCCAGGAAAAGCACTAACATTCTCATAGTGCAAACATCATTCACAACAATGAGATGAAGAGGAATGAATAACAGACCAGCTTAGCTGGCCTGCAAGCTTCTGGGAATTCTCCTGTCTACATTCCCATATCTCATAGACCCCCACCCCGAAGTTGCAGATGTGCAGGGGGTGGGTGGTGGAATCTGAGCTCTTGTCTGTATGCTTTCACAACCAGCACTTTATCTACGGAGCCAACTCTCCAGTCCCCACTACACATTTTTTAACAACTGTTGGGGAATATACATTAAAATTCTGTACCCACTGGGAAACAGAGTTCTTGGGTTTTGCTACTGTATTTTGGACCTCCCTTTACACTTTATATATTAAATTCACAAAACATAATTTGCAGGCATTTGCTCCCTTCTGTGAGCTGTCTTTCTATTCTGCTGTCTTTTGATGCACAAAAATTTTAAATCATTCATGGTCCAACTTTACCTTCTCTTCAGTGTTGTTTCCCTCACTTTTAGCGTTTCATTCTGAGGAAGAACTGACAACTCTTGGTGGGGAAGTTTTGCCCATGTTTTTTGATTTCATGAAGAGCTTATTATCTTAAGTCTTGTGTGTAAGTATCTGGTCCCTTTTGGATAAGTTTTGCATTAGATAATAGTCCAACTTCATTATTTTTTAACAGATATTCAAATGTTCCAGTTGTTGAAAAGACCATCTTTTTTTTTTTCCTCCCATTAAACACTTTTGGCACTGGCATATAAAACTCCTTTAACCATATGGGTGAGGTTTATTTATGGAATCTCTCATCCCTTCTGTAGTTTATGTGCCTATTTTTCATCCCAGCCCCATAGTCTTTTAATTACTGAGAGTTTGTAGTGGTTTTGAAATCAGGGAGTCTTTTTCTTTGGTGTTTTTGTTCTGGTGGCAATTAGAAGGAGAATGTTATTTTGAGAATAATATAAGCTTTAACATCCAAGAGAATTGGATATAGATTTTAGTTGAGCACTACTATGGTTTCTGTGTTTATATCCCACCACCCAGCAAAATGTATTTTAAATTTAATATCCTTTGCAGTGGCAGGAAGCAGAGCCTTTGGGAGAAAGATTCAGTAAGGAGGCCTCTGCCTTTGCAGTGAGATTGAAAGTCCTTGTAGCAGAGGTGGTGGAGAGGTTTCCAACTCTTGTGTCTTGTCTCTGACATGGGGACATGATGGACAATTTTCACTCGTTCCAACACGTGGGAACACAGTTATGGGTGGCCACAGAGCAGCCTTCACCTAACACTGTTCCTGCAGGCACCTTGACCTTAAACTTCTCAGGTTCCTAACTGTGAAAAATATCATTTTTGACTCTTTTTTAACCTATTCAGTGTCTGTTATGGCAGCCCAAATGGGTTAAGGTAGCCAAACAAAGCTATGTGGCCTGTGACAAACAGGTATTCTTTAGACCTATTGCTATCATCATGAAGGCAACAGTAATAATTAGTGTTTCAACTAAGCCCTTAATGTCAGGTCAAGTTTGTTTTAAGTAACTTAGATTTATCATACAATGGAATTGAGTTCTACAAGGCTTCCTGTAAATTTCAGAACCAGGGTCTAGAAAGAAGACTCAGTGTGATGAGGGTAAGATATAAATACTGAAACCAGAGCCACACACAGCTAGAATCTATAACAAATACTCTCTTAGATTATAAAGCTTATATGGTCCTCAAAATACCACTCTGTTTCTAATTGCTGCCAGAACAGAATGCTAAAGCAAAGGGCTCATCAGTTGACAACTCTTGCTGCAAAATCAGGACGGCTGAAGTTGAGATATCCCAACCCATGTAATAAGCCAGGTGTTCATATGTTTCTGAGAGATTCAATGTATGCATATACATATAGACACATACACATGCACACAAATAAATACGATCAATCTTTTAAAAGATAAGGTAAATTTCAGTATAACTCAGAAACATATAGACAACAGACATGGATACATGAGTATGAGCTAGCTTCTACTTCGTTTGGCAGCATAGCCTGACCTGCAGTGATACGGAGTTATTAGTTGTTAATCTTTAGCTCATCTGCTGGGAATAATGCTTCGCCTGTCAAAATGTTGACTTTTTCAAGGTACGTATTTTCTATTCCAAATAACCTTCCCTACTTTCTGTGTTGCATAAATTTTTGTTTCCATGTCATGTTCATTTTCAGAATTCCAAAACCATCATGAAGTTGGACATTTTCTAGTCTGAAGGTCACCAGACCAAGGGTAGATCAGTTGCACTATCTCCCCACTTTATGGTTCAAGAAATGGCACAAGGAATGGTGAAATTACTTGTCTACTCATATGAGTTTGCCTGCTAGGCAGTAGACTGTTATCATAGGTGACCTGGGTTTACAGCTCAAGTCTTCACCACCAAGAACGAGTTCTCCTTGAGCTACATGAGTTAGAGGTGATAGTGAATCTTGATTTTTTTTTTCAGTTTGGTGGGATTCAGATTACCCGTGGAGGGGAGACACCTGAACGTGTGTCTGTCAGGGAATTTTCAGACTGAGCTGAGTGAGGTGGGAAGGCTCACTCTCAGCGCAGGTGGCATCATTCTCTGGGCTGAGGCCCTTGACTGAATAGGAAGATGAAAGCAATCTGAGAACCATGTATCATTCTTGACAACAGACAAAATAGAACCAGTTGACTCACTTTTCCCACCATGCGGAACTATATGCCCAGAGTTTTTCTTTCCCACCTGGTCTTGCCTAGTTCTTCAGTCCCCAAATAAACACACTGATGCTATATTAGTCATAAAGCTGTTGGTTGGTGGCTAGGGCTTCTTATTGGCTAGCTCTGTCTTATTTTCCCATATCTACTAATCTGTGTATTTCCATGTGGTCTTGGCTTACTGGAGAATGCCGGCACTTGTTACTCCTTTGGCAGCCTGCATGACGACTCTGTCACAGGCTCTCCCTGCCTACCTTTCCCAGAATTCTCTTTGTCTCCTAGTCCCACCTATCTTCCTGCCTTATTGGCCAACAGTGCTTTATTCATCAACCAATAGAGAAACATATATACAGAAGGACATGCCCCATCAAACCCCTCATTCCTTCAAATTGCTTCAATCAGAAGCTTCACCATGGCAATGAGGAAAAGTAATTAATACAACCTTTAAGAGGCCTGTGATGAAGTTCTTGATGGAATCTAAAAGTATCCGGCTCCTTCTGGATGTTTCTCTCAGTCTGCTTTCTTGGATGTTGAGAGAATAATACACCAAAGCCACTGCTTAACCCACCTGCAGGGAATATGGGAGCATACAGTGATGGACACTCTAACGTGCATCTCAACGTCTTTTGTAGGTGCTGACTTGATGCCTTTTCCTTGTTGGTAGCTTCATTTCCCCTCAGGTATGGATGGCTGTCCCTGTGACCACTGCCTTGCTCAGCTCAGTATGCCTTCTCACTATCTTTTCCGTCCCAGCTTCTGGAGACTCAATATTTTGCCAGTCATCATCATCCATTAGATTGCTCATTCTGTATGGCAACTGAACATGATATGTTCACTTACATCCAGCAGCTCTGACGGAAGCAATATAGGCCCTGCCATTTAACTTGTATTTAATTGTTTCAGAATGGGTCTGCTTATGAAAACACACTCTTGGCTCTTTATTTATTGTGAGGGATGTGTCACAGTGCCATCTGGAAGTCTGGAAGGGGTCAGCATTCAGTCAGTAACAATGTCACATTGACCACAGTATGGCAAATGTCTAGACACAAGGCCAGCAAAACAGCCAACTTGAGTGGCATTTATAAGCTAGAGTGATGTTTATCTCTAGCTTATAAGTAAGCAGCAAGGCATGTGGAAAGAATCTTAAGGGGCATTTGGTTTTCTAATTGTCTGAATGTGAAAAGCAAGACGGGGTGAAGACAAGAGACACACCCAAGGTCACACAGCCAGTATTGAAAGGCTCATCTGGGCAGGGACACAAGTCATGACTCCCAGCTGCACCCATCTGTAAGCCTACTGCATGCCATTGCCAATTCCATTTTCAAAAAAAAGCAAGGAGTAACTCATCATACCATTATCATTCATCTCAACTTCCTTAAACATCAGCAACTTAAAATAAATCAGGGTCAATACTGGCTCTTCATTTGCAAAAAAAAATCTCTTTCAAACTTCGTCATATTTAATAGCATTACTTCTTTTTCCTTTTAGCCAGGTAACATTAGTTTTCCTCTAGCTCATTAGCTGCCAAAAGAGAAACACATTTCTGACTCACTTAAGAAACTACTGTGATTATCCATGTATTAGTATATGTACATGTGAACAGAAAATGAAAAAAGATAATTATTTATGATCATGTCATGCTTATAGTTTGCCCTTGGTGCATTTGAATAAATTAGTGACTTTCAAATAAACTTCCGTCAAGTTCACAACATAGAGAAATAGCACGGTGCAGAAAATAACCTCTTTCTGGGAAGATTGCACTTGGAATCAGGAGAAGAAGGCATTGAGTAAGAGAAAAACCTGTTCCTCAATCTAGACATGGACTCTTTTGAATTTTGCTACCTATAGAAATTAATTCAAATTGTCATGCATTATGCATTTGGTGGTCAAAGACGCAGCAGAACACAAAAGTTTAGCATCAGTAGGAAATAAATCTAGCAGAATCTCACTAAGAGACTCACATGGAAGAAGTCATGACTAGGGAGAACATACAAACACGTGGAAAATGGGGTCAGATGCAAAAAGCTGTATGGAATACCTTGGGTTCTCTCTAAGTGGCAAAGGGACGCCATCAGAAGGTTGTAACAGGGACATAGCACAATATTTAGTGTAGCCTTGTACTTTGCTTACCTTTTAAACACAGATTTGCAGTGGTTTTTGTCTGTCAAGGTTACAACCAGGATGGCAGCAGGTAGCCTTCCTCAGCAGAGAGAAGCAGTATTGGTTCTGTGGCCAAACCACCCTGGATGCCTCTGCACTTTCCAGATCTTGGGATCTAGACAAGTCAGGCTTAGTCTTTGCAGGGAAGAAACACTGACTTTAATTTATTATTATTATTGTTGTTGTTATTGTTGTTGCTGCTGCTGCTGTTTCAATTTAGAAACAACCTTATTTTACAAATCAATTCCCCCTTCCCTCTTCCTCCCATCCTCCCACACCTCCTACAACCTCCCCAACCCATCCCCCACCTGCTTCCCAAGGACAGTGAGACCTTCCATGGGTGATGAACAAAGTCTGTCACATCATTTGGGAGGGTGCCTAGGACTTCCTCCATGCATCTGGGCTGCAATAGTATCTCTCCATAGGGAATGGGCTCCTAGGGATAAATACTGGTTCCACTGTAAGAGGTTCTATAGACTGCCCAGGACTCCTAGCTGGCTCCCACATCCAGATGGCGTGGTTCAATCCAATGCTGGTCTACCAGCTTTATGACTAGGGACCCTGTGCTCTCACTAGGTCAGGTCAGCTGGTTCTGTAGGGATGAGCAAAGGCGTCAAAACACTGAGCTTTAACCAATCAAAATAAGAAGAGAGTGGGGGCAGGGGTGGGAGCTGAACAGTAGTAAGTCAGATAACACCCTCTACCCTAAATAAACACACTAGGAGAATAAAGTAGCACTGGGTCTTTCAAAAGAATACAAGCAGCAGAACCTGCAATTCTAAGCAAGTAGCAAGCTTGCAAGACAAGTATTTTCACCATTGCTCTAGAGATAAGAAAACCGAAAGCCAGAGTATTTAAATATCACACGGCAAAAATAGCAAGTGCTAGAACCAAGATATATGCTAATGAAACTAAGGCTGGCAATTAAAATGTTTCTATGGAAGGCATTGTTCTCATCTTCTCTGGCATTGTCATATGAATATTTTGACTGAGCTTAATTCCCTACTTAAACAGGATATGTAGGTGTGCTTATAGTGGGTTCTATTTTTGTCTCCAATCATTCTACTTCACCACACATATAGGTTAGAGGATTGTACATCTACTCTCATTGCTGTGAGCCCTGACTATCTTCACCATGGAAGACCTCCGTGACCTGAGGTCAGCCATGCAACCTGCTTAAACCAATATAATGTGAGCAGACAGGGTATTTGCTAACTCCAAGCTGAAACATTAGAAGACCCTAGGGAAGGGGGAAATGGTTTAGTTATATTACAATATTGACAAATATTTTTAAAAACAAAGCTAGCAAGTAAACAACAATTATGAGTTCCAACTTTTAAAGACAAAATCAATTTTCCACAGCAAAAGAAAGCAGTTTTATTCTCCCCATTTGAAACTGAAGGTTTGCCTGAATGAATGCATATTCTTGTTTCAGGAAACCTCTCAAAATGAAAGGAGCCAATGGAAGCTAACCACTGAATCCACTCTGCTTCTCTATATAAGGCAGTGGTATTCTCCTGATGCTGTAACAATAAACGGCACAGTTACTGAAAGTAAAACTAAGTATTTATTGTAGAAATTACTCACAAGATACCAAACTAGTAACCCAGATGAGCCAAGTAGTTTTCTGCTGCCGAACCGGAAGCCGAAATCCGGGAAAAGAGAACAAGACTTCCTGTGTGCTGTCTTTTATGCCTTCCCCCGTAATGCCCCCTAGCCATGCCCAAAAGTGGGCCTGGCTAGTGACGTAGTTCACCGCCTATGTACGTATACATCTTTATGTCTGTCCGTATATGTCTTTAGTCATGCCTAAAGTGGGTGTGGTTAGCCGTGTGGTAAACCACTCTTACCTCATCTGTATGCGCCTCTAGTAAGTCACATGGTTAATGGCAGCATACAGGCTTCCTCCTACATTCTCCAAAGATGGACCACTGATTCAGCCTGGGCACCATGGAGGAAGCATGCAAGTAGTCACATCAGATATGTAACTGTTGGCACTTACCATGAAAGACGATGGAAGGTCTCATTGTCTTAATCCATTTGTGCCTTTATAGCCAAATCCTTGAGACTGGAGAATTTATAGACAGTAGGAACGTTTTCTCAAGGCCTGAACAGATGCGGTTCTCATAGAAATCTTACAAGGGGAAAACTACAAGTAACAAGTTTTGTAAAGTTAATTTAAATTTGTTAATAGGTTTTCATGTTCAGGATAAATAATTTTTCAGCCCTGGATGACTATCCTTGCAACAGTCTGTTGATAAGGTGACTTTCACATTAAGACAGCTGTTACATGCCAATTTTTTTATGTGTGTGTACAATTGGTTGTGTACCTGTAATATGCCCCAGGTTCAGTAAATAAACAACTCTTTTTATAAGTTGGTCCTATGGCTGAGGACTTTGGCCAAGCCTAGCTAGTCACTGGCCCATCTTATCCCTCTGTCTCTGTTCTTGCCCGCCTATACATGTGGTGCAGGTCAGGGGTCTTCTCTTGCTGCCCTGAACACATGACATGCTGGGCAAAAGTCTCTCCCGCCATGTGCCATGGGTTAGAGCATGCTGCGGCAGGGTCTCCTATCCCTGAGCATGCAGTGAGGCAGCTGCTCTGTTCTCCAACTGCTGCTGCAGCCCTCTCAGCTGAGCCTGCTCCTTCCTCACCTGCCTGTCTGTGAGGTGTGCAGGATGTGAGGATGGGGTCTCTCTCTCTCTCTCTCTCTCTCTCTCTCTCTCTCTCTCTGTCTCTCTCTCTCTCTCTCTCTCTCTCTCTCTCTCTCTCTCTCTCTCTCTCTCTGCCCCACGCACATGGCGTGCTGGTAAAGAAGCCATCTGCCAGCTTTTCCCTCCACCAGAGCTCCCTGCTCAAGCACACAGGGCTGGAGCAGGTAAGCCATTTGGCCAGATCTGGTCTTTCCACAGAAACTAAATGGCCTTAAAGTTATAACTATAAGAGAAAAAAGAAATATGTAAACTGTTTACTATGATGTTTCATTTCTACAAATGCTAAATTTTAAAAATTGATCTCTCAAAAATTATGTATGCTTGTTTTGTTAAAAAGTTCTATCTGTATTTTCTGTCATAATCTAGGTTTTATTACAAGCATAGAGCTAAAACAAAAGTGGTGCAGGTCGCCACCGATTTACAATCAGTCACATGGCAAGCTGGCCACATGGCTGGCTGGTAGCCATTATACTAAAGTTAAAAAAGATACCTGATCCACCATCTTGACTAAAGGTGACCACATGGAAGTTATGAGGTACCATCCTATCAACAAGTTTTTATTCAGATTTAAAATGTTAATGCTTTTATACACAGGAATGCTAAGTTTTATAATATAACAGTCACCCAGATAATAATGGTTTTAAAGGCCTAGAATATATTTTAATTTTCAAAATTAAAAAATTAATTTTTTCAGAAGTTTTAAAAATGTTTTCAATTTATAAGTTTATAAGATATTTATACTGTTAAAATGTTTAAAGCTAAACCTGACAGTATAAAGTTCTAGTTTTATAAAGGTTAATAAAGTTTATACTTTCAACAGTTGAGCTTAAGGCAGACAAACCTCTAATACTTCAGAGACCTTCAGAACATGATGGCATTTAAAATGTTAATTTAAAAGTTTATAATATCAGACAGACTTCCAGATCCTAAAAGTGACCCAAAGTCTCCAAAGAAGATTACGAGGCACCCCGGTCCCTACACCTGGATTGTGTTGATGCTGACCAGTGAGCAAGATGCTCAAAGGTGACACCTGCTGCTGCAGGACCTGGCCCAGAATGTGGACAAAGATGCTGGATACTGGAAAATTGATTGCACCCCTTTTGCCGAGACAAAACAAGGTCGGTCTTTTCCATGTCCCTCTTCCACAGAGAGAAAGAAAACTCACCTTACAGGCCTGGTGAAGATTGATGCTGTTCCTGATACTTGTGCCTCCAGTGCTAGTAGAGGAGACTTGCATATGGCTGTATATGGACTGGTACCTGGCACTTTTTAATAGATTCAGACTGTATAAAATTTATTCTTCTCAGATCTCTAAAGGTATTAATGGTTGTCAGCTTGACATCAGGCAGCCAAATCCACAAGACTATAGTTAGCTTGGTAGCTCATTTTATTTATGTAAAAATCAAACCTTAACCTGTCGCGTCTGCTGCGCGGCCTGTGTCCAAGAACGTGCGGAGGGTGTCGGGGATTGACAACACAGAGACTCGTTCAACGATGTAAAGAAAACTTTAAGCAGGCTCCAAAAAGGTTCAAGAAAACTTCCTAAGAAAGGCTCCCACCAGAGAAGCTTCTGCTCTCTCCTCTACCCTGGCTGGTTCTCTCTCACCCCAGAAACTGATCTGGGCGTGGCAGAAGAGGCGGTTAGTCTCTGGACAAGGTCGAGCTCAGGGTGGTTTCTGCGGGCAGGCCTTTTCCAGGAACTTAATGCCCCCAGGCGTTGTATTGTTTTTAGTAAACATTGTCTTACAGCTGCCTACTCCCAGGCAGAAGGGGAAGTGGGTCTCTGCTCAAGGTCTGGTGTTCCCACAATTCACCCCTTTTTATTTTTAAATGAGGCACTCCTGGCTTAGGTCAAGTAGGGTCACCCTCCCTTTCCCGTCCTTGGGGGACCTTGAACCCCTGTCTTAGGCGGGAGGGGTCTTCCCCACAGGTGGCCCGTCATCAGAGCACCCCAACTTTAAATCATCTGTAACCAACCTTCATGGTTATCGGGATTGCCATGGGCTAGGCTAAGCAATACTTGGTTACGGATCTCTTGCCTCTGGAACAAAGCACGTTTGAGCCCGGCATAAAGCCAGAATGCCTACCACCACTGCCACCATTTCCAGGACCCCCATTGACATAGCGCCTCTCCATCACCGTACCCATCACCAGATCTGGGCCATAACATTCTACCAGCCTTCATCTGTTACAAGGGTAACATGCACATGATTTACATTCTGTTACAAGGGTAACCCGCATGTGATTTACATTTACAATTTGATAAAGTTTACAATTGTTCCAAGATCTGCTCAGGAAAGCATTTAGAAAGTGCACTTGCACAGATACATTAGGTACAATCATTGATGTTACACATGTAGCATTATGAAAAATATGAACAATAGGCTTGTTGCACTATCCACAGAGCACCAATTTGTTCCTGTGGTGATGCAGTTTGTTGATTCAACATCAGCTGATTATGCGACTTGAGTCAAAGTCTCCTTTTTGTCGCATTAGGACAAGTTGCACCTCTCTAGAAAAATACACTGGCCTAGTCGTGATTCCAGAAACAGGAACCATCAAGTCTGATATTTCAAGTGACCATGTCCTGTTCAATTACTGAAAAGAGGCTTTTGCCCCTCATCACAATCCATACGAATGTCCAAATGTTTTAAATGGGTCCTTTTTTCTCTATTGGCTTCATGATGAAAACTCATGGGTCCGGAAGGTTGATGCAGCAGGTCTGTTGAGAAACTGGAAATCTTGAACCGACTGTTTTCTTTCTTTCTTGGGCTCTAGATTCGATGACAGCAAGGTTCAGGAACACTGATTTAGGAGATCTCACTCAAACTGGCTTAGGTAGGCTCCCATGGTCTCAGGTCCAGTTTTTCTCTGCTCCATGTCGAAGCTTTTATTCTTTTCCTACAAGAAAACACAAACATGCCCTCGACCCCAAATTAGGGTCTTCTCCACTGTTTAGTGCATGGATGTCTCCATTTGACCTGAGCAATGGTTGCTCAAGTTCCATCATGCCAGAATCTGTCTGAAGCTCACTGGCACTCACATTATAAGTTTTTTAAATGAGGAGTGTATTATTTGATGAGTCATATGGGGACTGGGGACATTATTCCCCCTTTTTTATTTTCTAAAAAAATTTTTTTGAACTGTTGAAGCTGGACCATAACAGTAGAAGGATTTGTCTACCCTCCTTGGTTAACTATCTAGGTAAATTTAGATTATTTGTAGATGACCATTAAAAAGGACATATCCATTAAATATTTCCCAAAAACTTCTGAAAATCACTCAAAGTTTGTAAACTATAATGTGTCCAAATAACTTGTGAAAATTATTTGAAGTCTGTGAGCAGTCTTTCCCAATCTAACCTGTAGAGCTCTCACTAGCTGACAAGGCCTCATTTGTATCTTAAATTTTTCTGTTAAAACATTAACAGACTGGCTGGATGTTCCTTTTGTCTATATTTAAAGCAATCTAGGTAGCTTCTTAACTATTTTTGAAGGGATTTAAGTATCCTTTTAATCATATAAGCAGTTCACACTCATGCATTCACAATAACATTTCATACATACCGGTGTGGCCACACCATACATTCAGAACATACATGCATCTTTCAGTCATCCTTTTTCCGGACCTCCAATTGTCGCGTCTGCTGCGCGGCCTGTGTCCAAGAACGTGCGGAGGGTGTCGGGGATTGACAACACAGAGACTCGTTCAACGATGTAAAGAAAACTTTAAGCAGGCTCCAAAAAGGTTCAAGAAAACTTCCTAAGAAAGGCTCCCACCAGAGAAGCTTCTGCTCTCTCCTCTACCCTGGCTGGTTCTCTCTCACCCCAGAAACTGATCTGGGCGTGGCAGAAGAGGCGGTTAGTCTCTGGACAAGGTCGAGCTCAGGGTGGTTTCTGCGGGCAGGCCTTT